CCCAAGCTGGCAGAGGGTAGGTTTAGGCTAGATATCAGGAGGTGCGACTTCACGGTCAGGGCGGCTAGGGTCTGGAACCAACTTCCAAGCGAAGTGGTGCAGGCTCCTACCCTGGGGGGCTTTAAGAGGAGGCTGGATGAACACCTTGCTGGGGTCGTTTGACCCCCATACTCTTTCCTGCCGTGGCAGGGGGCCGGACTCGATAATCTACTCAGGCCCTTTCCGACCCCACCAACTGTGAAACTGTGAACAGGAAGGGCCCTGCCTTGCCCCATACATGACTCTTGCTTTATCCTCCTGGTGTCAACTTTTCCTCTGGGTTTCTGCTTTCATGTGGTGATAAGTGTCTTGCTTCTGTTTGGAGTTCATATTATTCAGCCAAGCAAGAGATACTCTGGAGTGTTTTGCTGGTCCTGCAATCTCTGCTGTGAGTTACAGCAGCACATGAACTGGTAGATCATCAACAGAGTCAAGCGGGTTACATCTATATGTGCATTCATGACTGCAGTCACAGAAGAGGTGCTCCATCAGAAAGACTGCTGGCTTGATCCACAATTCGTAGTGACTGTTGTTTCCCAGCACACTTGGCTGCTAATACAGTATTTCTGAGTGAAACACCATTATCCACTTCCTTGCATAAGACACCTTTATCACATGGTGCCTGCCTGATAAACTCTTACCATGCCACATCCTTTCCAGTCTGTGACCTGCTGTAGACTACCTGCCAGATGTCTCAGAAAAAAGATATCTGAAGCTCATGACATTTGCGATGTGTAACCAGAGATTGTCTCTGCTTTGGACAAAGAAGCCGGTGTGGGGTGTGCGCCACTTAAACACTTTCCTTTCCTGTTCCTAAATCCCATAGGGCTCTGGGATTCTGCTTTTGGAAGATGACTCTATCTATGAAGGCAACTTCACGGAAGATCTGATGTTCGTTGGGAAGGTGAGTGTTTCACCGAATCTCAACTCAGCTGCGTTACTGCTTGTTTGTTCGAGAAAGCTGAGACTTGGGGTAAAAAAATGACCATTTAAATGTCAACCTTGTCAAGCATTTCATTGCTGATCACTAACTAAATTAGCCAGCTGATGAGCTCACCCTTCACTCTTCTAGCTTGCCATTACACATATGCTTTGCAGATGAAGCATGGAGTGAGTGGGTGGTATCCTACTGATCTGCTTTCAAAGTAAATAAGCTGGGTGCTCTCGGATGAAAAGATATCTTAAAGGCAGCTTCCTCCTTCTGGTTGCTAGTCCATGGTTGCTGGTGCCTGCCACAGCTTCTAGGTAGGCTGAGATCTAATTTAGTTCGAGCACTTGGATGCAGCTATATCCAAAATGAATGTTCATATTGGGTGGCTGGTTTTGAAAATCTCAGTTCTTCAACTTAAGCAGCAAGTGCCCTGCTGTTGGCATCAAAGATCCAAGGTTCAAACCCCCAAAGGATTAGCTACGGTTGCACTCTGTTTGAAAGCCTGTTTTTATTGACCTCTTTAGTTTGAATCAACTTCCTTGTAACAATTCCAGCTGCCCAGGTGAGCTGTAGCTTCCCCAGTTCTTGAAACCAAGAGTATGTGGTTTGCTTTGGTAGCAACACTCATTTGCAAGAAATCCATTATCTACATGAATCCAACTCTATTGTCCCCTTGCTCACTTCATCATACCCATGGGCGACTGGTGTCTCCTGAGTCTGTGGGGACACCAGATCACCAACCGGGGAGTGGCTGATTGCCAACAGCAGCCAATAGTTGAGCCTGTGGTGCTACCAGGGGGTGCACGTGCACCCGTGTGCACCCCCTATGCATCACTAAAGGTCATACCTTCTAGTAATTTAAGGAATAGGGAAATAACTAAGTGAGAGTTAAAGTTTCCAGATCCTACTCAGCCCAGTTATAGGTTAGACAAACACTTGGGCGAGAGAGTTTTAATGGGAATGGCCCTGCTTTGAGCAGGGGATGGATTAGATGAGCCCCTGAAAGTCCTTCCAGCTCAAATTTTCTGTGATTCTTTAAATTTTTTGCTGGACTACCATCATCCTACTGGCATAAGGAATGTCCCTCAATGCAAGTGCATTTCTGTGTCTTGTCCGGAGATCCTTAAGGAGTGGGGGAGAATGAATAAAGTTCCCATGCTGGAGTGTTTCAAGTCTGTGGTCTTTCTGATGGCAACGGACTTCCTTTCAGGGATTGCATCGACTTCTGTGCTCTGTGGGAGGGGAGCTTGGGTTACGTTTCTGGTCTCCCGTTTCCCCACGACCTCCCATTTCTGTATTTTCCAGGGAAAGCTGACCTTTGCCAATGGCTTCACTCTGGAGGGCACCTTTAGTAACAAGTCGGGTCAAGGGCTGCAGACGCAGGGAGTCCTGAACACTTCCAGCGATCAGCTGGGTGACAGAATGATCAAAGTGTAAGAAACAGCAACTAATGGCTTGGGAGTAGGTCCAGATTTAGTGAGCCTGTAGAGGAGGACCAAAAGAGGTACCAGCAGACAGCAACACAGCTGTAAGCAAGAACCAGAGGCCACAATGCATGACAAAGTCCTCAAATGCTCATGACGTCACAAACGTTACAGGAAACTGAATGTGGAGAAACTCTATGACTCTTATAAGGCCCCCAGGGGATTATGGGGGGTATATTGTGGGGGAACTCAGCCTAGAGGGAAGAAAGGGGATGCTGGCCTTGCACACATCAGTTTCCATTTGGCAGTACTCCACCCAAATGAAATTGTACAGAAATGGTTCAGCTGTTTCTGTGACTGTCACTGGGCGCATCTACACAAGACGTTTACTGCGCAGTAGCCTAATAATACTGTGCAGTCACGTGTCAATCCAAAACCATACTAAGATGCGACTGCGCAGTGTTATTAGGCTACTGTGCAGTAAGTGTCACAAAAAACCCATGCGCCAGTGCTACTGCGCAGTAACTGTAGCTACTGCACATTTACTTAGTACTTCATTAAGCAAGTACTAAACTAAATGCACTGTAACTACTGCACATTACTGTATGTGTAGACACACTCACTATGGAATTCACTACATTACAAGGGGAAAAAAAAATGTAGTCTTGTTATTGCTCAATCAATTCATTAGCAAGTACTTCAGGCCACAATGGCCCATCCATGACTTCTGGGCCTAATGCCTTGTCCTTCCAGGATGGTCAGTCTAACTTGACCTGCTGGATTCCTGCCTGTTGTTCCCAGTTGCACCCACTTAGCCACTGTTAAATGCCTTTGTGCTTGAGCTGTTTGGGTTTGTTACGGCATGAGATTAGGAGAGAAGGAAGTTGAAGGCCATATGGAAGAAGGCGTCAGATCTGAATTCACTGACATCTCTTAATTGTGCAGTCAGTTGGGTCTTAACAAATTCCCAGTGGAGACGAGATGGTGGGGAATCTACGACCAGTTTTTGGGGTTCGTCCACTCTGGCTGCAAAGAAGAAACTGAGGAGTCTTTCACGGGGTTTCACGTGCAGACAAGCAAGGAGCTACGGAAATCTCAGGAGTATCTCTGCTGCCAAAGGTGGGTCGTGGCTTCCCAGTGCAGAGGAGCTCAGTTGCACGGTGGACTTGTACTTGCAACGTGCGTCGCTCTTGTGTGTTTAAGTCACCTCCTCCCTGTTTTTCCCCTTGTTCACAGGCTCAGTATCACTTCATTGAGGCAAGTGCATTGTATAAGCCCAGAACCAATCAATTCTTCTTGCTTAGCATGAGGTGAATGCACATACAGGGATCTTTTTCAATACTGGTGCTTACCAAGAGAAGAAACTTAAGAGGATTAAAGTTGTTGACCTCTAGAGGCCCCTTCAGCCCTACTTCTGTCTATGACTTGGCCAGTCAAATTTGTCTTGTACCATCTGAGAGGGATCCTAATGTCTCACTGACTGCCTCAAGTCACCCTAAGAATGGTTTATTTGTGCCTTTGGGGAAGGGGAAAGGTACAGTGAAGTAATACTCATCATGAGATGGACCATAAATGCAACGAGGCCTACTTCTCCCGTGCCTCGTGTGTCAGTTCACACATTTGCAAAAGGCTACCAGGAATGTGATTATAATGCCTGGAGGTGTAAGGTAGAAAACGAGTATGATGCGTGTAAAATCTCATGTCACTGTCATGCTTGTCTTGCCCTCTCGCAGGGGGGCTGAGGATGCACCTGGGAAGATGGATGACATCCTTGAAGAGCTAGTTCAGCATCGCGAGCCGGAGCTGCTGCACTGCTATCTACAAAAGGTCTGTTTGAATGCACCCTGGCACCTTGCAAAATGGTCTGTGCCCTCAGCAGCCCTTAACCTGTCTGTGACTGTCAAGCACTCAGTATAAGCAGACCTTGGTGCCAGTGCAGAACAGGTCTGATTGGCATTAAACTCCTATAAAACAAGTGAGGGGTCCTAAAAGAACATGGAGGGAAGAGGGAGAACAAGTTCAACCATATAGTAAGTTGATCAGGGGTGGTCCCATTCTAGCTAGTGACTTCCTGTTGGTTGCTGGTAGCTCCTTCCCCCCCTCCATCTCTAATTCTCATGTAGCAAAGACTCGGTAGCCAGTTATGCCACGAATCATTTCCCCCTTCTGAATTATGCAGTGAGCTTTGGTGTCGGGGTGGTCTGTTTTGGAGACTGAAGTTCCCTGCTCAGCTTGGTAGCCCAGTTTATGGCAGAACAAGCCTACTCATTCCTTAAATCACACCTTTGGAAGAGCCAGCTCCACAAAATTGCCCAGTGGCTTCTATGCACTTTTAGTCATTGGCTTCTGCTCAGGTTGCATGCAAGGGTGACAACCAGAGACCCTGATTTTGATCCTCCTTCAGGTTCACTGACAAAATGCTACTTGCAAAGCAGTAGTGCCATTGGTGGGAGTAAGCCTTGGTCAAGAAAAACGTGACTTTCTTCCAGTATGATATGGACACAAGACCTGTGCTCATTTTTCCCAGATTAATCCATCTTGGTAGTGAACCAAGGCCTGGGGTCTGACCATCTTCTCTGTCTCATCTTCCAGTCTCTAATGAAGTCCAACATCTCTCCATTGTTTCTGCAGGTTCTGAATTCTTCCCTCCACCCATTAGGAAAGCTGCTGAAGACCCTGACATTAGCCTTTCAAGCAACCTACTCTGGGACAGGGGCAAACAGACACCTACTGAGCATGGCCCAAGAGGAGGTCAAGCACTATGCAAAGAAAATCTGGGAGTTTTACCAGTAAGTTTAGTGTGGGAATGGCTTCCTCATGCTACAGGAGAAGGCTTGCTGAGCAGGACATATAGCTTTTTCCCTTGGGCTAAGAAGAGACATTGCATTTGCACCTGGACAAGTTGTGTCTGTACTGTATTTTGTCCAAGAACAGAAATATCTTGGGGTGGGTGGGTGCACATGTTGCCCTTCTAATCAGGGTTTGGTGAAAGGCTGAATGCACTGCTGCTTTTCTGCCAAGCATTCAGTGGTATAACCCTGCACTTTGTTCAGATGCACTTTGTAACATCTCAGGATAAACTGTTAAGACTTCATATCCCATCAACCTTTTTAGGATTTATCAAAGGGACAATGGACATAGCCATCTGAACCATTGCACTTTGCCCCAGGATAAAATGGCTTATCCCAGGACAAATGTGGCATCTTTTTGTAGCCTTGGTGACTAGAGCTGGTTTGTCACATCTGCCACATCTGTCCAAGCCAAATGCATTTCTCTTGAGGAAGTTCTTTCAGTTATGAAGCTCTGTAGGTGATCATATAACAGTAGTGGTGTCATCTATACCCAGTACTTTCTTACCTCATTACTTCATGTGCAGATGTAAGAACATGGACATAACGAGACTGGATGAGGGCCATCTACTTGTGTATGCTGAGGGTTAGGTTTAGCTTGCAGAACATCAGAACTAGGCTGGTGCATGCCTCCCCAACTTGATTCAGCTTCACTCAGGTTTACTAGGCTTATGAGTCAAACATCTCCACTTGTGGATGGAACAGACTTGGGTTGGAAAACTGGGTATCATGCCAGGGTATCATTTTAGTTGCCCTTTTTAGAATAGAGCCATACTTTCAATCTGGAGTTTCAAATTTACCTTGCTCTCCTCCCCATTGGACCATGGGGCTCCCTTGCAGGCTGGACCCAGCTGTGGTGGCAATGGTGGGTTGAGCAGCAGGTGCGAGGGGTGACATAGCCATCACTTACCCCCTCTCACCATTGCACATTCTCAATGGGGCGACATGTCCCATATTTCAGCAGCAGGCCCCACCTCCAAATTTTGGGGCCCTCTGGGAGCTCCATACAGCAGACTGCATGGGCTGGATCTGGCCCATGGGCCATATGTTTGACACCCATACTTTTGGTTGATGTATTTTTGGAATTGAGCCCATTATACTCACAGGTAAGTTAGGGCATTCTCTGGAAGAAGAGGCCTCAATGCCTCTTAACCCTTCAACTCATATGCTACATATAGGGGTGCAAGGAGGAGTTGTTGACTGAGATGGGAGTTATACTTCCCATCACATCTGTCTGACACTTGAGCAAGTATCCAAGTGCCTAGAGATGTCGCTGTTTCTTGATGGGATTAGTTACAGACTTAGCTAGAAAATTCATTCTTGTGCTTAACAAGGATCATGAGGGATGAATCACTGGCCCACACATCATCTTTGGGCATGAAAGTCCTTTCACTCAGAGGTTTATATGGGAAGTTTCCAGTCCACAGATCCCACACTGTGTCTCCAGAACATGTGGTTGCTTTTTGAGAGTGAACAGACTCCTTTTAAGTTACAAAAGTTTTAGTGTGCAAGCTCTGTAACATTGCTGTGCTAGCTTCCTATTTTGAATCCTGGGCCAGTCCTAATTCATCTGTAAGTGATTTGCTCTTTATTAAATAAAAAAAAAAGGCTAAATCATGGTTCTTGCTTTCCTTTCAGGGGTTTGCTACATTTGGCCCTGGAGCAGAAAGGCCAACCATTGGCAGAGATGGAAGATGCAGAGACAAGGTAGCTGTGGCTAATAGCCATTTGGTTTTAAGCCTCTCGCATCGGTGGCGTTTCTTCCAAAGAAATGTTTGTTTGGAAATCCACTTGTTTCTTGGTGTTTGGATGAGTATATCTAAATGCCTAGGTGAGCATGCTAGGAGGAAAAAAAATGCTCTAATGAGTTTTCTTCATTACCAGCTTAATGAGGCAGAGTTGCTAAAGCATCTTTCAATGGTGTGAGTTTGATTAGGTTGCAGGGCGGGTTTGATCCGGACTTGGGGAGAAGGGTGCACTGAGTTGACTGAGTTGTAAATGGGTACCTAGTCCTTTGGGCTGAAGAGGCCAGCCGTGAGGTTAGCCACATCCTTCTTGTGTGTCATGGGGAACCAAAACTGGAGTTCCTTAACCATGCTCATCCAATGGACTTGCTAGGCTTGGGTAAATCTTTTTGCCCACCTTAGCCAGAAGAAGATGCCCAGTGAGTTTAGAAGGCAGGACAAATGGTGCTTCAGGTGAAATAATGTTTCTCTTAACACTGAAATGAGTTATGTGGTTGAACATGAGACTATGGGATATGAAATGAATAGATCCTTCCTGACCGCTGTGTTGCAGCCATCACAACCTCTTCTTCATTGAGTGTGAACACGCAGAGCATGAATCATGTGTCTATTATTGGGATAGCCTTTAATAGCTGCCAGACAGCATAGCATATCAGACCTCTGGAGGGCAATTAATGCAGGGATTTATTAGAAATGCAAAAACCTAGAACTTCTGATACCTTTTATTAGACCAACTGAGAAATTGAAGGAAAAAACCATATTTTTCTGCAAGCTTTTGGGCTCACACACCCGTCATCAGGCTAACCATGGTAAAAAGTCCCCATATGTAGGAAATAAACTTCATTTTTGCACAGAGGAAGCTGAAGCTGGAAATCTGTCCCTCCTGGTCATTTTTATTAGGTATTTATTAGGCATTTTATACTTCTTCACTTTCTTTTTCATAGCATGATTCAGTGGCTCAGAGCAACACGTTGCTGACTCGTAAGAATGTAGCTATCAAATATTGATTTACACGTGTACCTCCATTCCAGATAAGGGCACTGTGGCATTATCTTGTTCTGTACCCAGCACAAAACCACACGTTCCCCTTGCTCGGATCACCCTGGCTGTTGCATTCTTGAAGTACCTCGTGCTGTTCGCTCCCTTCCAGGCGCTACTACCAATCCCACTGATTGCAGCAAGTGGAACATGTCACATCTTTTGCAAGGGTATCAGGTGCTGCCAGGCTGGGCAGCTTCAGCTGTTTCTCGGCTTTAATGGAGTGACAGCAGTCGACCCTTTTCAGGCATTTTGGCTCAGCCAACACGCTGCAGGCTGAAACCCCCCCTCCTTGCACACCAGATTCAATTTGTTTTCTGAACATGCACCGACAAATGCCATATCCTTGTCAGGTCATAGAAAAGTAGGGCTGGATGAGACCTCACAAGGTCATCTAGTCCAGCCCCCTGTTCAAGGCAAGATCATCCCTGACTAAACCATCCCAGCCACGTGTCTGTCCAACCTAATCGTGAACATGTTAAGGGATGGAGATTGCACTGTTTCTCTAGGTAGCCTGTTCCACCCTCAGACCGTTCTGCCTAATCTCTAACCTGCATTTCCCCTGCTGCAGCTTGAGACCATTGCATTTATCCCTGTCCCCTATGGCTACAGAGAAAAGGCCATCTCCATCCTTTCAATAATCACCCTTCAGGTTTCATAGTTTCATAGGTATTTGAAGACTGTTATCAAATCACACCCCCCTCAGTCTTCTCCAGACTAAATACCCCTTGTTCCTTCAGCCTTTCCTTGAACACCTTGCTTTCCAGGCCTCTAATCATTTATGTCATTCTCCACTGGATTTTCCAATCTGTCCACATCCTTGCAATGTGCGGCCCCACAGCTGGACACAGTACTCCAGTCACAATTATGCAGCCGTAATATTTGACTCAAAACTGGGGGAAGGGGGATGAGCTAGACCAACCGTTGAGGTCCTGTAGGTTGACCTTTGTGGATACAGCTTTTGGTTGACTGCAGTAGGGATCATTAAGCTTTTCTTTTCCTTCAACCTCAGCAACCTGAATGCCTACGGCATGATTTTACCTGTGATCCTGCCCTGTTTCTACCCGGAGCTTTTCATGCTGTACATGCTGTATCATGAAAAGGAAGATGACCTCTACTGCCAAGGCATTGTGAACCTGAGTTTGTTTTCTGACCTAAAGCTGCTGGAGTTCCTGGATGTCCAGAAGTGAGTAACATGGCAGCAAATGAATCCTTAAAATACCTGGGAATACATCAACTGGGAAGGAGGGGGAGGTTCGCTTCATGGATGTGGGAAGAGAACTTGCCTGCAGGACTTGTGAAGTCCCCCTGAGCTGCAGCAGACATTTAATCGGCAGTTTCTGTAAAGGATGCTTCATTCCAGCAGGACAAAAATGAGCTGACATGGGTGGAGGGCTACATGTTATAACCACTTCTTCTTTGGTCTCCCTTCAGGCACCTGTGGCCCCTCAAAGACCTCAGCCTAACAACCAATCAGGTAAGAAATATCCCTTTGGGGCAGATTCTTAGCATCGATGTGGGAGCAATTAAAATGAAAGTGGTAAAACAACTTTAACAAATCATAGAAACATAGAAAATGAGGATGGGAAGGGACCTCAGGTCACATCTAGTCCAACCCCCTGCTCAAAGCAGGACCAGCCCCAACTACATCATCCCAGCCAAGGCTTTGTTTAGTTGGGTTTTGAAAACCTCCAAGGATGGAGAGTCCACCACCTCTCTGGGGAGCCTGTTCCAGTGCTTCACCAACCTCCTTGTGAGAGAGTTTTTCCTAATATCCAACCTCAACTTCCCTTGCTGCAGCTTGAGCTCATTGCTCCTTGTCTTGTCATCTGCCCCCACTGAGCACAATCCAGCTCCATCCTCAGGGAGGTGAAGGCTGCTATTAAATCCCCCCTCAGTCTTATTTTCTCCAAACTAAATAAGCCCAGTTCCCTCAGCCTCTCCTCATGTGCCCTGGGCAGTTTAACCATTTTTGTTGCCCTCCATTGGACTCTCTCCAACTTGTCCACTTCCTTTCTATAGTGGGGGCCCAAAATTGGACCCAGGACTCCAGATGTGGCCTCCTCAGTGCTGAATAGAGGGGAAGAATCACTGCCCTCCACCTGCCGGCAACACTGCTACCAATCAGCCCAGGATGCCATTAGCCTTCTTGCCAACAAGGGCACACTGCTGGCTCATATCCAGCTTATTGTCCATTGTCACCTCCAGGTCCTTTTCGCAGAGCTGCTGCTTGACTAGTTGATCCTCATCCTCTACTGGTGCATGGGGTTGTTCAGATCTAAGTGCAGGACTTTGCACTTGTCCTTATTAAGCCTTATGAGATTTCTTTTGGTCCAGTCTTCCAATTTGTCGAGGTCTCTCTGAATCCTAACCCTACCCTCCAGCATATTGACTACTCTCTCCCTCTTTCAAACTTGCTGAGGGTACCCTCCATCTCATCTTATTGAAGGAGGCATGCAAATGTAATTACAGCTGAAGATCTGGGCCTTTGGGTACTTAGGTATGCTTCAAAGATCTAGGAATTGATAATAGGTCATAGACATTGGATCACAGGACTACATGGAGAACAGGATTTTTGGCAATAGATACCATATATATTTACATACCACATGCACCTCTTTTGTGAAAGGAGAACGAAAGGTGGGGAAGGATTTTTCTTCTTAACCAAACTGTTCAGAATCATTTTTCTTATCTGGGAGATGCATCCCAATTTTTTATTGCTATTTTTTGTGGGGGAAAGGTAAGTGTGGTATATGAATACATAAGGTATCTTACTAGTATGGCTGAAAATCGGTCTCATCTTACAACACCATGAAGCTACTTGTATGTAGGTGTATCCACCAAGCAGAACCAAAGCAAAGAATAAGAGATTCCTTGCAGTGGTAGGTACGGCTTTTCTTCTGATCTCGGTGGTTATGCAGTGTTGGTACAATGCTGAACATACATATTCCACTTCCCTGATGTCTTCACTCTGCAAATATATGTGTGCTAATGAAGTGCTCTTGATGGAAACATGCTTGATATAGATAAGCTTCATGTGCGATCAGTTGGTCATTGGGGCACTAGAAATGACACCCAGCTGTTTGTCTGCCTTTTTCAGAGGCGCTCCCTGATCAAAGATAAGTGCTTCCTTTCTGCCACTGAATGCCTGCAGAAAATAATGTAAGTTGCCTTGCATGATCTCTTAGTGATAAGAAGAAAAGTGCAGGGACCACAATTTGTGCTTTGTGGAAATCCCCTGACTTCTGAACCCTGCCCCTACCGAGCCAAATTTTGATCCATCGGAAACAATTCCTCCAAACCCTCTTGACTTGGTTAAACATAGAAACAGCTGCTTTGAAATGAACTTGAAACGTCCTGGTCCATTTATGTAAGGAGAACGTTGAGATCTCATCAACCTCTTCTCCAGATTTTCAAGTTTGCTTAATTTTTTTCAGAACATCTTTTCTTTAAAATTCACAAGTTCGGTTTTGAATGAAGTGGCGCTTTGTACTGGGGACGAAGGGGCGGCACTGGGGATTTTTGCCTAATTCTCTAGATTTATTATGCCAAGTTAGACAATGTGGTGGTAAAGATACCTGAGCCCAGGGAAAGGTATCCATAAGGAGAGGCTGTAGATGCAGGGCTGGGGGGTGACTAATGCAGGGGACTTCATGCCTATTTTTTGAACTGCGGTAGGAAATATTTTTCTGACTTTATTTTGTATCTTGAAACATGAGGATTGGCAGCCCTTGTAAGTCTTAGTTCAGTTGGTTTAACTGCTCTTTTGTGTATAAATGTCAGCGAAGCTCTTTAGGCCAGGAGCGGTCTATTTTAATGCATCTGGGTTTTATTACTTAACTTGGTAGTAATGGAGCTTCTTTTATTGGTAGCATGACCGTGGACCCCCGGGAAAAACTGGAGGTCCTCCAGAAGACGTATGAGGAGATTGAAAGCACCGTGTCACGGGTGGCAGGGAAGGACTATAAACTCCCAATGGACGATCTCTTACCGCTGTTTATGTACGTTGTGTCACGAGCCAGGTGAGAAATAGCTTTCCATTTACAGCTGCTAGCAATGATACCTCTCGCCTACACTCGATGGTCAGGGCTGGCCAGATTTTTCTGTTGCAATGATTCAAACAAAAACCCAAGTCTCTGCTTAAATCCTTCAGGTTTGTATGGAAAGCAGGTGGGATTTTGTACAAGACCCCCTTGCAAATTATTCTTTTTGCAAATGCTGAGTGGTAGCTCCCATTCCCACCCTCTATGAGGCTGGCTCCTTAGCCATATTCTTCTCCCCATGGCCCAGAGCCAGGGGCTCCAGTGAGGCATCAGCATTTATCTCTGATGGGAGACCATGGGGCATCGTGGGAAACATGGTGCGAAGGAGACCAGAATAGGATTGTGGAGCTCCTCAACTATCTCTCCCTGAGATGTGATTTCCAAAAGACAGTTGCTGAATCAAGGAAAATCAGGGTTGTCTGGAAACTTGTCCTAGCTCTTTCTGACCAGCCCTAAATGACTTACCTTTTGCCTTCCATACTGCGGACGTTTCAGCAGCACAACATCCACACCCTGTGCATCATTCCCTTGGGGGAGCACAGTCTATTTGTCTCTTTGCCAAGTAGCTTGAAAGGATTAGAAAAGGGTTGGCTGTTAGATTAGAAAGGAGGACCTCTGGGAACAGTTCCTGACCCCCCTGGAAAACACGACTAATGTATTTGCGTAACAATGGTTTGTAGATTATAGAAGGGGACTCTGATGCTACTGAGTTGGCTGATGATTCATAGACATCAGGGGCTGGAAGGGACCTTGCCAGATCATTGAGTCCAGCCCCGCTGCCATAGGCAGGAAGTCTGCTGGGGTCAAATGACCCCCGCAAGATTAGCATCCAAATGACGTTTCAATGAGTCTGGAATAGGTGCTTGCACCACCTCTGTGGGGAATCTGTTCTAGACCCTGGACACTTGCATTAAAAAGATTTTTTTTCTAATGTCCAGTCTAAATCAGCCTTCCAGGAGTTTGTGGCCATTAGACCTAATTATCTCTTGGGGAGCCCTGGTGAACAGCTGTTCTCCCAGATCCTGGTGCACCCCCCTTATGTACTTATAGGCAGCCACCAGGTCCCCCCTGAGCATGTGCTTCTCCAGATTGAAGAGTCCCATGTCCCTCATCCTCTCCTCGTAAGGCTTGCTCTCTTGGCTTTTGATCATACCAGTGGCTCTCCTCTGGACTCTCTCAACTTTATTCATGTCTCTCCTGAAGTGGGGGGGCCCAAAACTGGATGCAGTATGCCAGCTGCAGCCTCATTAGAGTTGAGTAAAGCAGGAGGATGACGTCCCCGGTTTTGCTTGAGATGCATCGGTGGATGCATGCCAGAGTTTGGTTTGCTTTGCTGGCCACAGCGTTGCATCGGTGGCTCATGTTCATCTTGTGGTCAATCAAGACCCCCAAGTCTCTTTTGGTCGTGGTGCTAGTGAGTGTAGCACTGCCGAGCCTATAGGTATGATGCTGGTTTTTCTTCCCAAGGTGGAGCACCCTGCACTTCTCTGCATTAAATGCCATCAGGTTTTGGTCCACCCACCTTGCGAGCCTGTATCCCCAACCTGTCCTCCAGTGTGACCACCTTCCCCCATAGTTTAGCGTCATCCACAAACTTTGCCAGTCCACAACTGATGCCCAAATCCAGATCATTAGTGAAAATGTTGAAGAGTACTGGCTTGAGTACTGAGTCCTGAGGGGCACCACTAGTCACCTCGTGCCATGTTGACTTGCTCCCATCAACTAGTACTCTTTGGGTCCGACCCCAGAGCCAGTTCCCCAGCCGTCAGACTGTGAGATGGTCGAGGCCACGGTTTTCCAGCTTAGCCATGAGGACATCATGGGAGACCAAGATTAAGCTTCCACAATATAGTAAGAGCTGGGAATTAATAAGAGCAATCCAACCAACCTACTGCTAGGAATTTAAGACATACCTGGAAGAAACGTTGCATGTGCTCCCCTCACTAGTTTAGAGGAGAGGAATGCAAGGTTCAAGAATGAGCACCCTTGATACTCGATGCATTGTGATTATGGAGGTTCCCAGGGCAGTGTTTTGCCATCTTCAGACCTACAGATGGATGCTGTTTTCCTAGATTTGGCATGAGCACCCCAGTCCAAAATAGCTCTAAGCATCATGCCTATCTGCAGTTGGGGATGATGTGGCAGAAAAGTCACGGTTTGGGGTTTCTTAAGTACTGAGCACCCATGATTCGTGATAAAGTCAGGCATACAGTCCCTCAAATCAGGCCCCACTAGATTAAGGTCACACACCAGGGATTGGTGACTTAAGAATTTCTGTCTCCACTACTAGACCAGATATATATGTAACACAAGGAGTCATGACAAACCTGGCTCCTTTTTTTGTTTTCTAGTATACAACATCTAGGTGCAGAAATACATTTGATCAGAGATTTGATGAATCCTACTAACGCAGGAGGGATGTATGACTTTCTGTTAACAGCACTGGAGGTAAGAGAGTTTAACAATGCCAATCAGACTAGCAGGAAAGACTTGATGAAACTAAAGTACCTTTTTTGTTCAGAAGCTGTGGAATTAGCTTTCCTGAAGACAGGTGATTAGCTCCCCCCCACCAGGGATGTTTTTGGGATAAGTACATTAATCTAGCTACTACAGAAACCATGCCACTGTCTACAGTATTTCAGTCTTAGATTATATTCATGGCTTCTCTTCATACAAAAAAATCAAGTAGTTTTGATTTAAAAAAGAAAAGGGGGGGTGCAGGAGGTCTGTAAGAACTTCCTAACATTGACACAGGTTATATGGTAGACCTAATCCAGAGCAGTTTTCAGGGCAGCGCTTCTCAATCTCGTTAGACTCAAAGCAGCCCTCGGAAAGTGCCACCTCTTAGCTTTCACTTGTTTTTTTGACTACCAAAACATAATAGAGGAATTCTTCTGTTGCAAAGAACTCAGAAAGACCATCGCAGGTCTGACACTAAGGATTCCTATTTGAAATCACCGGGTTTATCTTGTGAATTGTGTAGGTATTTGCTCACTTAGCAGTGCTAATGATTGTACGGCATCACATGGTGCCCTTAAAAAGATCTCACGGCACCCTAGGGTACCCCAGTCCTTTGGTTGAGTCACAGCTTTAAGATTAGCTGAAGACTACACAAGTAGCTTGCATCCATCTTGCTGCAACAGCAGCACTGGTTGTCCATGGTCTGAACCTTGGTTGGTAGACAGCAGGTGCTAGAGACCTTCCCTGTCTTGCCATGCTGACTAGCCCTGGGGATAATGTTTGAAGACCTATTTGCAGTTTGCAAACTCACTCTGATCTCAGCATACATGCGTGAGACTAGAATTTGGCCCACTCTACTGAAATGGATGCCCACACATCTCTTTACTGACTCTGCTCCTGTTGCTTTGTCCAGTCTTGTTACGAGCACATTCAGAAGAACATCAAGCTTCAGCACAGAGAGACTTGGCAATCGTCACGTGATTCCCGACGGTTATAATCCAGAGAACTCCGATTTGTGCATTTTGGTGGAAGACTGTTAGGTGAAGGAACTGAGTCACTGCCACTCTAGTTACCTTTCCAATGGGAAGAATGCTTATTTTGGATCCGAGCTTTTATTTATAGTACAAAAGCCTGGACTCGTTAAGATACCACGATCAAGACACTTCCCTCCAAAATCTCTTGCCCTTGGTGGGACTTCGATCTGGGCTCCTGTCCCTGACATACAATAAAGCAAAAATAGACTCTAATGCAACAGCCAAACTATAATCAAAGCCACTGAATATTGGCCTGAAATCTGCAAGCCTTCATTTTTGTGTTCTGGGCAAAACCGTTTTCAGAACAAATCATTCTGTGGAATGTGTATTGAAATCTTAGCATATTTCCCCCTTCATTTTACAAGCAGCCTTTGCTCTATAATCCCATTTTTAACGACTCTCGTTTTTATGTATTTATTTTGCACTGGCAAACTACCCGAAGAGGGAAAATGTATTTATAGAAACCATACAATGAAGCTGAAAGAGCTGACCAAAGCTGCATACCTAGAACTGATCCATGGATAGACTCAGCTGCATGGAAACAGAAAAGGTCCCTCTCCTTCCTGCAGTAACTCTTCATGAAATAGTGAAGCTGAAGGCTGCGTATAGCTGAAAGGAGGATCTCACCCCATCCTCTTGGCCAGACCCTCTCTGCTCCATCCCTGCTGTGTTTTTAAAGCTGCTATGGACTCATTTCCCTTGTTGGTGCTTTTTAATTGTAAATTATTATTTTCCCTTGCTTCCTGCTGAACCCTATTTAACTTCAGGGATGTCCCCATCTAAGCTCTTTTGTGCCTTATATAAATAGGTATTACTCAGCTCTGTAGATGCATAGATAATACAAAGGAGACAATATCCTGCAGCAAAAGAACTCTGTAGTTCTGTAAAGGAACCAACCAAAACCCATTTTAAAATGCATCACCTCCTGCACTTACTGTCTGGTGGAAACACCCTGATCTTCCAGAAATACAATTTCATGCTGATGCATCCTCCCTTTGAAATGGAGCTTATGGGGCAATATCAGGACAGAGCATGACTTGCTTCTATAGTGCCTTTTTTAAAAAAAGGCAAACTGTGTATATAGAATATTGCACTGAAACCAAAATACACTAAATAGGAATTTATCCAAGTTGGATATTAGAGCAAAAGCTTTATTTAACTGGATTTGAACCTGCTTTTTTTTAAGTCTGATGTGAAGTTGTCCCCTATTTTTATAATGATGCTACAGACTGTCACCTCATGACTATCGCAAGCTTTGTGTTTTGTTGAATGAGTTGAAACTGTTTTATATCAGATTGACTCAGGACTCTTGTTAATGTGTGTTTTATATTTGTATGTAAATAAACCCTATTTCTATTTTTAAAGAGAGAGAGAGAGATTTTGGAAATTATTTAAAGAATTTCTCTGCCTTCCCCTTTCTGCTCTGCTGTGATGTTTCTGAACCTAATTCTAGACTATTTTTCAGAAAAGCCTGAGAGTGCCTACGGTGGGTAGTCATCAAGCATGATAATGGAGAATGTAGTCTCCACATTAAGGATTCTTCAAATACAATACAAAAGCAAACCCCGAATCCTGCCTTGCTGCTCAACAAACTGATCCAACAACAAGTTTATTGCCACTGTCATTAAACCAGCATATTCCTCTGTCTTGTATTGGTTACCCTAATACTTCTTATGATGTTTGATGTAGTATGAGTATCAGACCTATGTTTGCTGGGGAAAGCTGAAGAAAAAGCCTCTCTTTAATTTGGTGCTAGACCACAAACATGGTTGACTAACTGGCCATGTAAAACATTAGCTGTAATACTGTGACCAATTCAAAGTGCTGGGTTCTTGTTGTACGTGCTTGAACTGCTGCCCATGTTTGTAGATGTCAAGAGCAAAGCTGAGCTGTTATGGGATGAGAGCAAATCAGTGCTATTTAATCCCTCAATTTAATTTGAGATTATCCCACTTTTTTAAAAGGCACCTGTAACCTGGTCTCTTGACATCAAGTTACAGAACATCCCTCCATGGGTCACTGGCACTGGGGGAGAGGGGCAAACCCACAACTTCCAAGGCATCACCTTATAATGCCTGAAATTCAGAAGGGACCAGTCTGTAGAAGGGACTGGTTTGTAGCAGAAGTGCTGTAGAGGCTCATGTGGCTGAACTAAAAAACTTCTAGTGAGAGATGTTCATGCTGATACATTTAAACAGACATGGTGCATGGTTATGTGATTGACATTACAGCACTGGAACAGTCTGATAATATGCCTATGGCAGACTGGCTATTTAGGAATAAAGTAGATGTGTTCAAGCCAATTGCAAAGGACAATCTATTCCTGTATTCTGCTGACCCGTCGCTGACACAGCATGATTGGATATGCTGGTCTGACTTGGAAACACCACGCTTTGATGCAAGAACATGAAAGGTTATTGAAGGATGAACACAGAAGGCAGATTTGGGCCCAATTCAAGGTGCTGAACCACAAACTTCACTGATTTCAATGAGTAATAAAGGGCCTGAGCCTAAGGTTGCCAAGCTTTGACTATGCACACTAATTAATGTGCCTATAGAATTTGCTTGCAAATTTTTTTAAGTTGGATCTTAAACTTTCCCATGCTCATTGACTTCAGTCTGGCAACTCTTCATATCAATGGAGGCCAAGCTTTGTGGCAGGTGTGCCAGAAATTAACCCCATGCCCTCCAAGTGCTGTTCTGAACTCCTCCCCATGCCCAATTTGCTCTGCTTTCTGCTCCCAGCCCTCTGCTCCCTGCCTGCTCTTTCTGTTCCCTGCCCTATCTGGCACTGTGCTGCCTGTCCCCTCCCCAGTCGGTCACATGCCACACACACACAGGCTGCCCATAGCTAATTAATGAACACATTTTTCACCTGGAAGAAAAAAAAAACCAGCTGTAGTGCAAGACAAGGAAGGCTTTTCATCTGTGGATCCTTCATGCTGTCAACTGCAGAGCAGTGATGCAAGCGGCAGACAGCACAGCTGCCTGGGAGGATGTACAAGTTGTCAAAGTGCTGTGTTCAGACTGCAGTGTCTGCTGGAGAGGTAGGTTTGAATCCTGTGCCTTACAAGGAACTGAACATGTCTCCCATGGTGAGTCCAAGGCTGTGATAATTAAAACACTCCAGTATATTCAGTTGGCAAATCATGTAAAATGCTGTCAATGGCAATCCCCAGGATAGCTCTAGTTCTACATTTCCTTGTTTTCAACACCTGCTTGGAATGTATTCTGAAATTCTTTCATTCTTGCAAGGAAGTTAAGGAAGACCATGCTGTGGTCTGATTTCAAACACGTGTCTACCCCTAGCAAAAGAACTTTGTTGGGTTGAGTCACCCTGTTTAACATACTGTTAGGGTCTCCTACTGCTGCACACATTGCTGAACTGTTTAAAGACTGGACCCTATAACCAAAGGCAAACATGTGCCTTAGTTTCTGAACTCAAGTACTTGGTATGTAAAGCACTTCTGGCACATTGAGAGACTTCATTGAATGGGCCAGCATCTGTTTTCATGCCATTGTTTTGTCAAAAGGAACTTCACTGGGACAGACTCCTATTAGACCACATGAACTCTCATACCACTGCTAGGGTAGGTAAGGATGGGCATAGTAAGTTTTTTCTTTATGGGGAAAGTAAAATTAGTTGAATAATAGCTATGAACTTTAATGTCCTAAGTGCTCAAAACCTGGTCATTATCCAGTCCAAAGAAACAGCCAGCCAGAATCCTCTCTTAAGTCAGCAAGCAATTTAGTCATCTTTTATAATTAATTCAAACTTAATATGATCTCTCTATGCTGCTTTCCCAGTGGTTTTCACTGAAGACAATAATACTAGGGGTAGGGTTGCTTTCTATTAAGTGTACAACTTCAACTGCAAGCTATTGATTAAACCATGTATACCATTCAGATTTGAAGGAAGGTTCTTAAAAGAATGAGATTTTAGCCAAGGTATTTAAATATTTTAATGTGCAGTTTTAGAAACATAGCAGCATCAGTGGCCACCTATGGCAAAGATTGAGGAAGTTTCGATCAATAATTTAAAAACTAATCCCTAAGACTGGAGTATGTTCACAGAAACACTGGTTGCAACTAGATTTTCACACCAAGTCTTTAGGTGCAAACTGCTAACAGCAATAAGGATGCTTTTCAGTTTTATTGAAAATGCTTGTTCTCAGTGCCATGCAGACATTTTAATGTGGTAGCACCAAATTTGTGGTTTGTGCTATGAAATCATGCAGAATTTCCTATCAGCCTGTTTAAAACCATTCCTCCTCCACCAGAAAAATAAGCTAAGGCTGCATACAGCCAGCCATGATGAACTGTCTTTGCTTAGTTTTCTAAACCTCCTTTTTTTTTTTAAACTTGCTGTTTTTTTAGTTGATTAAAGTCCAGAGAACAACCTTCACTGGATATAACATGCATGCTTTGAATGGTGTGGACAAGTTAGAGAGTGTATCTTCATGTGTGAATGACTCAAATGAATGAACAGTGTAGATGGCAAATTCTAAGGACCCGTGACCCTAAGCTAAGAATACAAAGCAGGAAGGCAACCATTTGTCCTTGAATGTTCAATTGAGCCATTTCTATCCTGCGCTAACAGAGTCTGATCCTATGGACTTCCTTACCTTCTTGGGAGTATGTATAGTGTGCTATCCTAATATACTCCCTTTCCCTACTCTCCATTAAGGCTTATTGTGCTTAAACTGTAATAGCTGTAAATACAGATATTTTCTGCTTCCCCTGCGTGCCTCTGTTGCAACAGGTGCATTTTACAAATAGCTGAATAAAATAGGAAACTATAACAGAGCAGTGTCTATGGCTGCTTTCAAGTGGTGAAGTAATGCCTCCGGAGGTGGGGAAAGAGACTTGAGGTCCAGTTTCTTGAAATCCTCATTAGCGCTCAAAGAAGTTAGCACTTCCACAGTCCTCTTTAAGTCAAACACTGAGTGCAGCATGCCTAGAGTGGAGATGGCAGCTTTGGGACTGTTCTTTGCTAAAGCTTCATCATCCAAGACACTTTTCAAGGCTGAAATCCTGTTCTCTGCAATCACCTTCAGGAAGTTGTAGAACTCTTTGTAGTCTATGCCCGTGCAGCTTTTCATGATTACCTAAGAAACAAGCCACGCTAAGCTTAAACGCCTCCTTTTTAACTAGAGCAAGAGTGAAAACAAACCACCCCTTATCAAGGCAGTAAGTGGCTGAAATATTTATGGTAACCACATTTAAGCCTTTCTCTTGTGGTTTCCTGCTGCCTAGTAATAGTAAAATGTATTGTCATGGATAGGAAATTTGATTATTCCCAAATGCCACAATCAATTGCTGTGGTGCTGCCGGCTTGTTTCCATTCTGTTGTACGTGTTCACTTGCCGGAGCTGCTCTCTGCCAGCTGCAGAATAGTTTCCTTAAATAAGACTTCCTCCACCTTTACAGGCTGCTTCATAAAGGTTTTTGGAGCTTTGGATAGAGAATATCACTCAATTACAGTTATTCCTTCTCAAAACAGCACTTGCAAAAGTAACAGCTGCTGCAGCCAGTGCTTCTAAACTGGTCTTAAGCAGCACACTCCATTGGATCTCAAGGGATTTTAACATCGTATTCAAGCAATCGTCCCACCTAGGGTTCTATAACGTCAGCTTTACTGTTCCCAAGGGCAATAGATTTCAAGCAGGGAAATGTACCAGACTGCCTTTTATGAAACTTGACTTAAATAGTAATGAAAAGGTCTAGAAATTGGATTGGCGGGCAAGGATCAACACACACAACTTCAGCTCCGTAGTCACCTATTCTGAAATGAATGATGCAAACACATGTGCTTGCACAAGTCTTTGACCATCTAACTGACTTCCTCATGCTGTTTCCCAACTTGGAAACAAGCATAAACCTCCAAATAAGGACCAGCATAAGGCCCTGTCTGTCTTAAAGCTGATATGGACCAAGCAAAGTGGCGTTCATCATTTGACCAGCTGTTATACCTGACATTGTAGGTGCCAATCATCCATAGTCTCTCTCCATTCACTAATTTCCCGTTGGACAGCTGCTAATTCATCCTGCAGGAAGCACCACATGATAGCTACGTTGCAGCCATTCACCCAGTTGTGATTAATGGAAATGGTATCCTCCTGCAAGACATTGTGAATTTAACTAATTATTAACCTCAGCCTGTGAGTGTGTGCAGAGTGCAGACACATGAAACCCCACCCGCTATCTCTCCCTCAGTGAGTGGAATGGCCCCTGTAATGTCAAAGCGACTCGTTCATCTTCAAAGCCCATCTCTTTGTTAAAATCCTCCTGCCCACATCTCCCCCTGCTCAGTCTTCCTCTCTGACACTTGGTCTTTGCACTATTTCTTCCCCCTTCCTGAATACAACCACAACCAATTGTGTTTTGCTGTAAATCTATGTATTAAAAAGGAAAGCATGGTTTAAGTTAGCTAATGTCCTGATGTTTGCAAAACTCCAGGGCAGTGTAAGTCAGGATATATCTAGACTACATTCCTCAAGGAAGAAGGCAGGGTGGCACTTTATAGTTTAATTGATTCAGAAAGGCATGAGCTTTGATAGGCAATCTACTTTGTCAGTGTAGTATAGCGATACCCAAGGTAGCCAAGATACCAGAAGTCTTGCAGCTATGGTTGCATAGGATGCATCCACACAAGTGTGGACATTTGGCTACCCAGGGACAATGAGCAGTGGGACACCTTGTACTGCCACTACTTGTCCCCAGGGAACGCCTGTGCCATTTACCCTCTGGTGCACAGCAGGTTACACTGGGTGGTGTCAAGGAAGCCGGCCCCAGCAGCCTTAGATAGGGTCCTGGGGGCTTCCTGGGGCTGCAGCAGTGGTGATCCTGCCACGTGGAACCTGGCTGGCAGCTGGAGTGTGGCTCTGGCCAGCTAGGCTCTGTTTTTGAGCAGCACACACTGCCCCCATGTGTGCTACTCCACTTTTTCTTTATGTGGTTTTGACCCCTGGATATCCAGGGGTCAAACCTCCCTCCAACCCCTGCACTGCTCCCTTGCAGTGTGGAGAACAGCTGAACATGCAGTATGTGCACCAGTGCCACATACCACATGGCTGAGCTTGTCTGGACACAGCTATGGGGCTCAGCATGGGCTAATTTAACTTCATGGTGAGTGCATTTCCCTTGGTTCTTGCATACTACCTGCTGCTCTTCTGCAAATGCGATGACTTAACTGCCTAAAGAAACTCTTCAGAGGGTTTCAGGAAGCATGTGGCTGCTGAGGGTCACAGTTATCTTACCAGGTTGTAAACCTGATGATGCCATCCACTAGGGATGAAGATGATCTCTCCTGCTTCCTGTATGACTTCAACAGGGGGGGAGCTTTGGGCACAGCGAGGGTAAATGCTGCTGTCATGAAGATTAGGCGCAGTGATGTCAAAAGGCAAGTTACCATGGCGATCTCTAAGGTACTCCTCCTCCTCTGGAGGGTAGAGCAGCCATTTCTTTTTCCCACAGATATTGGCTGACCAGCTGTAGGAACGGAAGACGTCTGCATGAAATGGAGTCCTGTGGGCCAAGACAGAGGGTTCAGCAAACTGAGACAAAACCCATAAGTAAATTCAAAGCTGAGAGCATTTTCTAGCTTCAGACAGATCTCCAAAATTCCACAATGCAGCTCCCATGCACATGGCCTCACCACTGAGCTAGACAAACGAGCAGAATGCACCTACAAGCATTTGTCCCAGGACATGCTGGAGGCACAGTATAGACATGCAACTCCTATCACCTCTTTGTTGGTCAAAACCAAGTTTAAGTACCCTCTCCCCTTCATACCCACCCTTTCTCCCTGCTGAGAATAGTTTTCAATCTAGACCTCAGGTGATTTGAGGGCAGCAGGTTCTACAGTATAGGTTGAAGCCGATATGGAAAAGGCTGGTTTATCACCAGTGAACAATACAAAGCTGGACTTTGTTTTGTACCTACAAAGCACTTAGTTAACTCATCAGCTCCCTCATGAGGCTTTTGCTGGCCCTACAGACTCAATACACGAAAGGCTTCAATACTTGAAGCAAAGGCACTTCACTGATGCTCAATCTCTGTGCATTTGCTCAAGCTGCTAGGATATTCAATGCACAAATCCTCACTTGTATTTTCCTCCCCTGGATGTCAAAGCTGCAGGTCCTAATGTGAAGCACAACTTCTAACTGCTTTGTGTGTGCTTGTATTCTAAATCAGTCGTGTTGATGATAGTTTCTGTTGTGCTCTGCTTAGGCAAATCTGTTTTTTCCGAAGAAGGACTACAGTTTGCTGCTTTTTCCCTGCTCACTCTCCATTTTTTTTAGCCCCAGTAAGATGTAATGGTACTAGGGTGCACTTCCACTGCACAAATTGTACACTTGGCTAGGATGGGCAATCTTACTGGTGGCACTTAGTTCCTTCTCTCTGACCTCATTCCCTCTTGTGCTTTATACCCACCTGTTAGACCTTGTCTCTACTTCTGTGATTTTCAAACTTTTTTGACTCCAGGTGCTCCTTGCACAACTCAAGGCTGGAGAATGCTGCTCTTAGCTTTCAATCATTTTTTGACTACAGAAATATTAGAGAGCCATTCTTCTGTGACAAAGAACTCAAAGTCCATGACAGATCAGAATGCTTTTGATATTCTGAATTCCTATTTAATATCTCTGGCCTTGCCCAGATGAGCGCGGTTGTTTGCTTCCCTGGGGACAAGCAGCAGTGGTACACCTTGTGCCGGTTTTACTTGTCTTCGGGGAACTATGGAGCATGGTAGATTACCCCAGGTTGGGTAGGTGAGGCTGGGGCCAGCAACTGTCTTGGCCACAGCAGCCTTACCTGGGGTCCTGGGGCCTCAGAGAGCTGCAGCCATAGTGTTATTGCAGCCAGGAACCTGGCCAGCAGCTGGAGTGTGGCTTTGGCTGGCCAGGCTGTGGTTTTGGGCGGCACATGTGCACCACCCCACTTTTTTAAGGTACACATTTTTTGACCCCAGGATCTCCCAGGGTTAACACCCCCCACACACACAGACTGCAAGGTAGCAGCACGGGGAATGCCTGCATGTGCGGTGTGTGGCACTGTAGATGGGTATGCAGTACCACATACTACATGTCCATGCTCATCTGGACACGACCTCTGGGTTTAT